CACGATTAATCTAATCGATTTGAATTAAAGTAATTAGTATCTTTCCTTAAATAAATTGATTTAAAATAATCGTTCCTTTATTACTTCGTCTAATGATTAGATGAAGTAATAAAGACTTTAGACGTATAGACTCTAATCTATACAGTCAACATTATTAAGAAAGAAATGTTTGTTTTTAATTAGTGAGCTCATTCATTAATCTCGATGTAAACATATGTTTTTTATGTAATTTATATTTTATGTATGGCAAGTTTGGAAAATGTAGGAATGCGTTTTGTTAACAATACTTAAACGTTCGTTTAGTTATTGCAGTTGTAACAATTCCTTGAGGAGGACTTGTTTTTTTAGCAGTTCTAAAAATATGATAATTACATTAAAATTGATAAAATAATGACCATGTATTACTAGGGGTACAGGATCTGCCGTTCTTCTTTGTGGGTTGACTAGGTGTTACCTTATGAATAATTGCTGTGTGACTACTGGTAAATGTTGTGCTACTAGTATTAAAAGATTGACCAAATGTGTTCAGCTTCAAGTTTTACAAGTGATTCTGAAAGAAAGGGCATCCTATAAATCAAATACATCATTTCAAATACAATGTTACAATGCTATGCATTAATGTTTCAGTTATTCACTTACGAGCTTGATCTCATAACTTATAGCTAATTAATTTTAAATCCTAAATAAAACTTAAACCTAGTCTTAAAATTAGACACTAAATACAATTATTAAAAATATTATTTTACAAACAAACTGTCAGTGGCTCCATTATTTCAATATAGTGAAACCGGCCGCCGCACTCGCGATGGCGGGGCGTGGGCGCCGGGCGGGGGGAACGGTGAAAGTGAAGGGAGTCCGCGAGCTCTGTGCGCGCGACGAGAAACATTCTACGCATCGTTGTCTTGCTGTGAGCTTGTCAGAAATACGTACTCGACAACCGGATTCAAGTTCCGTTAATTTTATTATTCCGTTAATTTTATTATTCAGTTATTTTTTCCTGCTACCGTCTCAGGTAGGTAGTTACCATCTAAAACCTGTGTATTATTAGTGCTTGGTTATTGTTTCTACACATGAATAAAAGCGCACCATCACCTGCATTATGTTGCTGTGCCTACCTACATACATGCTTAATAACTTAGTAATGTGTTTTTGCCTTTTATTTGTTCTTTTATTTTTATTTGTTCTTATTATGTTTTTTTCTTATTTTTAATTTCTCTTAGTCCTTCCGCTTGCTTTAAACCGTGACTGCTGCACCTTAGAAATCTATTTTCTGCATAATGTGAGAGAATCAATCGCTTACCATTGTGTACCCTTATGCTGCAGTCACGGTGCGAATTTGGACAGAGTGTTAATGTTCCACCCAAACCTGATTTCAGGGTTTTAAGTTCACCCTTGGTGATTTTCATCGGCTGATTTCGGCCTATCCTAGTTCCGGCCAACGCCACAGGGTCAACGGATTATTGGCTGTACCACATCACTCGAAGCTTGTTGGCTGATCGCTAAGGACTACCCAGGGAAGCGTAAGATTCCGCGCGTCAGTGCAGATAGGGGCTTGGGTAACGAACCCACCTAATTCTACCCACATAAAAAATAAATTAATTTTCTTTTAACACTAATTGTTAGTTTTTTTTTTATTTTTTCTACGAAGTAGTGTAATTATGTACATCGAGATGTAACATTGGCGCCCAACGTGGTTTTAAGACGTCCTTTTATTTGCACTGACAATATTTGTGTAGATAGTTTTCTTCGGTGACGGTATTTTTGTTAAAGATATTGTTTTAAACAAAATCGCTATAACTTTTTGTAACGGAACGGACAATATTTAAGCGAACAACCTACTTAAACGACTTTGCTCTTATTTGAAAATAATATCGTATCTTATGCCTATTTTTATGTATATAGCTTGGTTTTTGGGCTGTTTTGTTTAATTAGCCACCATCTATCTTGTCAGTGGTTTTGTTTACATTTATTTCTTGTTTATGTAATTAAGTACCTAACTGAATAATTGCACAACATATCAGACTGCGTCCTAATATTCCTTAACAAATATACTTAAAATTTTATAAACACCGGTTACTTGAATATTTACTTTCAATAATGTCTAAACAAATTAAATATTTATCCTTACAAAAAACGGAGCTTGAATACGAAGTTGAAATAAGAGGTGAGGTGCCTGCTGACAACGTTCAAGATCTCAGAAAACAGATTATAAAACAGATAAAAACTCTTCCCTCTGAAGATATATTAGAGTCCCATTTAGACACCGCAGTTGATATTAAGGGTGCTAAAGACAGTTTGTTAAAATTAAAAAATAATATACAAAGCTTAAAAACTAAATACGATAAGAACTTATACTCTAGAACCGAAAACCTAGCACACCATATTTATCACAGACTTAATAGAATTCAGCCTGTGACTTCAGACGACGCATCGAATTTCAAAGACTGTTTACAAAAACTACAAGTCTTCTACAAAGACTTGGCTTCCTTCTTTGCGGCTACCCCCACTAAAACTAGTATTGAATATGAAGACATTCCCGTTCCTAGTGTCTCAGTTACCTGCGATAGGGGCATCGCCGCTGAGCTAGCGAGGCTAAGGTTCGATGGGAAATCCTGTGTCCGAGCTTTTATCCAGGAGGTTGAAGAACGAATAAAAGCTAGGGATATTAAACCAAATCGGGTATTAGCGTTTGCGACGGAAATATTCACAGGCGACGCGTTACATTGGTTCCGCAGTGTTCGCGATTCTATAGATAATTGGGATCAATTAGCTGGATGTTTAAAAAGAGATTTTACTAAGTTCGACTATGATTATAGACTAATGAATGAAATACGCTTACGGACTCAAGGGGAATCGGAGTCTATAATTGTATATCTTGCGATAATGAAGGGCTTGTTTTCGAGATTGTCTAAAGTTTTTAGTGACGAAGAGAAACTCGAAATACTTCTCCATAATATCAGACCCTGTTACGCAAACACCCTCGCGTGCTCACCTCAGATTAAAACGATCTCTGACTTGCGTACTACGTGCCGCAATTATGAAAACTATCAGGCCCGGGTTTCACAGTTCAGAGAGCCTCCCAAGATTACTTTGGACACCTTAGCACCTGAATTTGCTTACACTAGACCTACTAATGGTCCCAGCAGTTCAAAGCATTACAACACTAACGAAATTAGTACTACACCGGTCGATGCCGTGCAACAAAATACTAGGGCATCAAAACCCGTATATTGCCCCAGATGTCGATGTCATACACACTCGTTAAAGTATTGCAAGGAACCTAGAGTCATCATTTGTTTTAAATGCGGTAAAAAAGACTTCCGTTACCCAGACTGCCCCAATTGTAACGGTTCAATAAGGGAATCGGTATCAAAAAACTAATTGATCGCAGCAACATTACAAAATTTAATCGCACTGAGTGGAACGATTGGCTCAGTTATATTAAAACATTTTTTAATACTTATAACACTGTTGCTGCAATTAAAAACTTTATTCCATCTAATGATCCTCGCCCATATGTTAAAGTGAATATTAAAAACGTATCTCTGGATATTTACGGTCTGTTGGACTCTGGCTCTGCCGTGAGTATTATAGGCAACAATTTACACTTACTACTATATAAATATTGCTTTCCAATTGACAACTCCGAAACTATATATGTCACTGCTGCCGGAGGTCAAACTATGACATCATTGGGTTTTATGCTTTTGCCTGTATTTTTTAATGAAAAATGCAATATTATCAAGGCTCATGTAGTGCCGGCAATCAAAACGTCTTTAATCTTGGGTATTGATTTCTGGACAAAATTCGAGATATTTCCTAACAACATTAAGGATATAAAACTCCTTGCTAATGATAGTCCTTATTTACTAGGAGTCTTTAACCATTGTTTAACTTCTAGACCTAGCGAACCCACAATAAGTTACGATAATTTTGACGCGTCTCAAAAAGCACAAATTCTAGAAATTATTAAACAATATAGACAAGTCTCATTTGAATTGAAAGGTCTCGGCAGAACTCAATTGATAGAACACCGAATAGATACAGATGACGCAGCACCTATTAGACAGAGGTACTACCGCTTATCACCTGAAAAGAAGAAAATCATCATTGATCAGGTGGATGAAATGCTGGCTCTTGATGTATTAGAACCATGTGAAAGTCCGTGGTCCTCTCCAGTACTAATAGTTAAAAAAAAGGACGGTAAACCTCGTTTCTGTCTAGACAGCAGGAAATTAAACTCTGTCACAAAGAAAGACGCCTATAACTTACCTTATGTTTCGGAGATACTGGACAATCTTAGGGATGCTAAGTTTTTGTCCAGCATCGATTTGTCTAAAGCGTTTTGGCAAATTCCAATAGCTGTAGCTGACCGTGAGAAAACTGCCTTTTATGTACCTGGCAGAGGAACTTTTATGTTTAAGGTTACTGCTTTTGGGTTAACTAATGCTCCAGCTACTCAACAGCGCCTTGTAGATACCTTATTTGGCCCTGAGTTTGAACTGAAAGTCTTCTGTTATCTTGATGACATAGTTATTGCTAGTAATTCATTTCAGGAGCACGTCTCACTACTGAGTCGTGTTTTAGAAAGGCTAAAACAGGCTAATCTCACAATTAATCTTGCTAAATGCCAATTTTTTAGAAAAGACTTACATTATCTGGGTTACGTTGTTGACGAGAATGGCCTTCGTACTGACCCTGCTAAGGTTGAAGCCATCTTGAATTTCCCCACCCCCACAACTAAAAAAGAAGTTAAAAGATTCCTAGGAACGGCATCCTGGTACAGACGCTTTGTGCCGAACTTCAGTACTATAGCTGGTCCGCTTAACGGACTCACTTCTAGTGGAAAAAAGGCACGCTCTTTTGAGTGGACCCCTGAAGCCGACACGGCTTTTCATACCCTTAAGTCATATTTAGTAAATGCACCAATTTTGGCTTGCCCTAACTTCAATTACAGTTTTGACGTCCACACAGACGCGAGTGCTTTCGGTGTTGGAGGTATGCTTTCACAAACCATCAATGGCGAAGAGCACCCAATAGCGTATATGAGCAGATCCCTCACTGGGGCTGAACGTAATTACAGTGTTACCGAAAGGGAGGCTCTCGCTGTATTAGTCGCGTTAGAGCACTGGCGGTGTTATCTGGAAAACGGCAAAGTTTTTACGGTCTACACTGACCATTCCGCGCTTAAATGGTTTTTATCCCTGACTAACCCTACGGGACGCCTCGCTCGTTGGGGTGTAAGACTATCGTCATTTGATTTTATAGTAAAGCACCGTCGAGGCAAGGACAATATTATACCGGATGCCTTGTCTAGATGCATACAAGTTGCTACCCTAAATACACCAATCGTGACAACAGCTAACACCTCTGATACTTGGTACCTTAATATTTATTATGGGTGCATTAGTTCTCCATCTAATTACCCTAACTATAGAATTGAAGGGAATATACTTTATCGTTACATGAAGAGTAAAAATCCGCTCACATCAGAATTTAGCTGGAAGGAAGTTATACCTAGAGAGTCACGACACGATGTTATTAATAATAATCACTCGAATCTTACGGCGGCTCACTTAGGGATCTTCAAGACTTATAGACGGCTTCTTTTAAAGTATTACTGGCCAGGCATGTATGCAGATGTAGTAAAGTTCGTTGGCGACTGTAGCACTTGCTTAGCTTATAAGCATCCCGCTCATACTACCTTAGGAAAAATGGGCAGACCAAAAGACTGCTCACGCCCGTTTCAAATGCTTTCCATAGACTTGGTCGGACCTTTACCTACTAGTAGAAAACAGAACAATTATATCTTCGTTGTTAATTGCTGTTTCTCTAAATATTGTTTAATATTCCCACTACGACAAGCCACTGCAGCAGCTGTCTGTAAACACCTTGAGTATAACGTGTTTTTAGTTCATGGTATTCCTCAAACCATTATTATGGATAATGGCACACAGTTCGCAGGCCGCGAAATGGAAGCACTCTTAAATAAGTACAAAATACCTAACGCGCAATTTACCCCTAAATATACTCCTCAGGTTAATAACGTTGAGAGGTATAATAGGACTATAATCACATCAATATCAACTTTTGTGAATGATGATCATCGAACTTGGGACCTACACCTACCGGAGATTCAATTCGCCATTAATAATTCTGTGAACGAAGTAACAGGTTTCACTCCCTCTTTCTTGGTGCATGGTAGGGAGGTAGTCACTTGTGGTTCTCACTATGTTGATAACGATAACAGTAATGAGATTTTGTTCTTGCCACGTGATATTTATGCCGAAAATCTTGGCTACTTAGCCGAAATATTTAATAAAGTACAGGTTTCCCTTTGGAATAACTACCAAAAATCGTGTCAACGTTACAACTTGCGTCGTAAACACGTCGAATTTAATGTGGGAGACGAAGTGTGGAAGCGCTGTTTCTTCCAAAGTGATAAAGGTGCACGTTTTAGTAAAAAGCTGGCACCCAAGTTCGAAAAATGCAGAGTAACAGAGAAAAGGTCGCCACTAGTCTATGTATTAGAGGACATGAATGGCCGCAACTTGGGAGCTTGGCATGTTAAAGACCTAAAGTTAAAACTAATGTCCTCGTAATCCTCATATATGTATTAGTCGTTAGGTGTGTTTTGGATTTTTCTGTCCCGGAAAAATCCTTCGCTGGGAAGGGGGGTACTGTTACAATGCTATGCATTAATGTTTCAGTTATTCACTTACGAGCTTGATCTCATAACTTATAGCTAATTAATTTTAAATCCTAAATAAAACTTAAACCTAGTCTTAAAATTAGACACTAAATACAATTATTAAAAATATTATTTTACAAACAAACTGTCAGTGGCTCCATTACTTCAATATAGTGAAACCGGCCGCCGCACTCGCGATGGCGGGGCGTGGGCGCCGGGCGGGGGGAACGGTGAAAGTGAAGGGAGTCCGCGAGCTCTGTGCGCGCGACGAGAAACATTCTACGCATCGTTGTCTTGCTGTGAGCTTGTCAGAAATACGTACTCGACAACCGGATTCAAGTTCCGTTAATTTTATTATTCCGTTAATTTTATTATTCCGTTAATTTTATTATTCAGTTATTTTTTCCTGCTACCGTCTCAACAAAAAATTGAAAATATAAAACTAAAACACTAGTGAATATTATAAACCCCGTGTCTGGGTAAGTTGTGCTTTTATTACCTTTATCATACCACATATGTAATAGTTACCGCTATCATTCAAAATGTAATTAGCCGTAGGTAGTTACCATCTAAAACCTGTGTATTATTAGTGCTTGGTTATTGTTTCTACACATGAATAAAAGCGCACCATCACCTGCATTATGTTGCTGTGCCTACCTACATACATGCTTAATAACTTAGTAATGTGTTTTTGCCTTTTATTTGTTCTTTTATTTTTATTTGTTCTTATTATGTTTTTTTCTTATTTTTAATTTTTCTTAGTCCTTCCGCTTGCTTTAAACCGTGACTGCCGCACCTTAGAAATCTATTTTCTGCATAATGTGAGAGAATCAATCGCTTACCATTGTGTACCCTTATGCTGCAGTCACGGTGCGAATTTGGACAGAGTGTTAATGTTCCACCCAAACCTGATTTCAGGGTTTTAAGTTCACCCTTGGTGATTATCATCGGCTGATTTCGGCCTATCCTAGTTCCGGCCAACGCCACAGGGTCAACGGATTATTGGCTGTACCACATCACTCGAAGCTTCTTGGCTGATCGCTAAGGACTACCCAGGGAAGCGTAAGATTCCGCGCGTCAGTGCAGATAGGGGCTTGGGTAACGAACCCACCTAATTCTACCCACATAAAAAATAAATTAATTTTCTTTTAAAACTAATTGTTAGTTTTTTTTTTATTTTTTCTACGAAGTAGTGTAATTATGTACATCTAGATGTAACAACAAAGGCACAAAAAAGTAGTAATAAAAACTTTACTTTATTAGTATTTAAGATTTTATTTAAATGCAAAGAATTGTATCTTCATTTTATAACAACGCATAAAGTCTCATGTCTATAATCCGTCGTTATACGTTTATTCACTTTTTATATCGCAACCATGTATATGGGCGTAAATATAAGTTATGACCCCTGGAAGAAAATGTTTGGGTAGTATAGTCTTAAGAGATAAAAGATAGTGATTAAAAACGGCGTATTAAGTCGTATCATAGACGAATCGACTTTATGCGTCGGAATCATTTCATTTTTGTCGTGGCTTATTTAAACACCATCACATACTGATAAAATTTATTTGAATAATTGTATTACCTATAAAACAAAGCCAATTTAATTTTAGTAAAATATAATACATTGAAACTTACATTTCCAAATTGTCCATCGGCCGTTATTACTTCGTTGTTTGGATTGAACTTATTAAGCAGTTATTTAAAAATCTTTGGCGAACTTACGGTACTCATTGTACTATATAATAATTTCACAGGTCTTAAAAGGTATAATTAAAATAAAACATAAATTAATAATATTTTCAAGTTCAAAACGTGAGACCTTCGTTTATGTCGAACTAACATAAACGAAAGCCTCAGTCATACGACGTTGGTATTGTAATTAACCTGGGCGTTATAGTAGTATTCGTCCGTGTGGTGACGGATTAAGAATACAAATTGTCACCACCCCAATTCATCCCGTGGGTGTCGTAAGAGCCGACTAAGGGAGCAAACTAAGCAGGACAACAGCACTGCAAAGAGAAGGAAAACTTGAAACAAACCCTTTTTTTTTTTTTTTTTTTTTTTTTTTTTAACGTGTGGAAATCCCCTCGGACCGTCACCCCTCCGGGGTTTGCGGCGGGGTGGTGTCGGACTCGGACCGACTAAAACCACACGGTGTGCCGATCTGCGCCTGTAACAGGAGGGATCCGGGAACAGCTGTTGTTAAGACATCCGGACCCCTCCTAGCGCCAGCCCGCTCCTGGTGCGGGCTCCGTCTCGATGTTTTTCCTCTCTTTTTAGGCGACGTCCGGCACACGCGGACGCCGCCCCCTCGCGGCTGGCCAAACTAATGCGGGTGGAGGGGAAACCCACCCCGTCCACCCGCGGCCACACTCAGGGCGGCATGAGGCTGTGGTAGGCGGGCCTCCGCCGCCCGGTTCGCCGGCGGCGGATCGGGTCCGAGTGGAGGTCGTCCTCCCGGGCCCTCTCCGCCGCCTCCTTCCGGAGATTACTACCTCGCAGAAGGTTGCGACCGCGGTAAAACAACTGTCGCTACCGGCCATGGAGCGTACTACGGCCGGTAGCGAGAGATCCACTCCGATGACTGCAGTGAGGGCCCGGCGCTGCGCCGCCCATGCGGGGCAGACCGCCAGCGTGTGCTGGGCCGAGTCCTCACTGCAGTCGCAGTGGTGGCAGGCGGGACTCAGTTCCCTCCTAGCGACCGTGTGCAGGTACTTTCCGAAGCAACCGTGCCCGGAAAGCACCTGCGTCAGCCGGAAGGAAAGGGTCCCGTGCTGCCGCCCTGCCCACTCGGCGATGACCGGCTGGAGAGCCTCCACGGCGGCGAAGCCAGCGCGTGGAGTCTCCAGCCGGAACGACCAACGAGCCATCGTGGCTCGGCGAGCGGCTTCGCGCCACTCGCGCACATCCTCGGGCGGAGGGCGAAATCCGCTCTCCGCCCGGAAGTCAGCCACTCGCCGATAAACTTCGGCGAGCACTTCCGCCTCCAAATCCCACGGGGGAGTTCCGGCCAACGCGCATGCCACCTCCGTCGACACGGTGCGGTAACCGCGTATGGCTCTGACCGCCATTACCCTCTGAGGGCGCCAGAGGCGTACCCTATTCTGGGCGGTCAGAGCCGCCGCCCACACCGGTGCACCGTACAGTGCCATTGACCGGACAACCCCCGTGTACAGCCGTCTTGTCGCGACGCTGGGTCCACCCATATTGGGCAAAAGTCGCCCTAGGGCAGACGCAGCGCCGACCAGCTTTGGAGCAAGCTGTCGGAAGTGCTCGTCGAAGAGCCACCTCCCGTCGAGGATCAGGCCCAGATATTTCATCTGGGCCCGAACCGGTACGAGGACCGAGTTGACCACGATTGAGGCGCCAGGGGGTGGACCACGACGGGGCCCATGAAATAACAGGGCCTCCGTCTTATCTAGGGCCACCCGTAAGCCCAGCGCCTCAATGCGCCCGACCACCAGGGAGACTCCCCCTGTGGCCAGGCGCGCCGCCTCTTGGAAGTTTGCCCCCCGGGCCGTAACCAGTGTATCGTCAGCGTAACAGATTACACCCAGCCCGGGGGGGAAATCGGCGCGAAGGGCCCAGTCGTACCCTATGTTCCACAAGAGGGGTCCAAGAACAGACCCCTGTGGAACACCGCACGACATGGGCCGACACCTCAAATTACCTTCTCGGTCCTCGTACACGACGGTACGCTCCTCTAAATAGTCTGCCACTAGCCGCCTCAGGTACTTTGGCACCCCATGATAGTGGAGTGCTTCCCTGATGCAGCTGAATGGCAGACTATTGAATGCGTTGGCGATGTCTAATGACACCGCCAACAGCACGCCGCCACAGCTCACTGCCTCTTCGGTCACGGCCCTCAGGCGCAACACGGCGTCGACCGTCGAACGCCCCGCCCGAAAACCAAATTGGGCGTCCGACAGATCGGGGCCCACCTCGCAGAGGTGCCGGACGATGCGGGCAGAAAGAACCCTCTCAAACAATTTGCCCGCCTTTTCCAGCAGCACGATGGGCCTATAGGCCGCGACCGAATCGGCAGGCCGTCCCGGCTACCTCAATAGGACCAGCTTCCCGCTCTTCTGCACTGTGGCACTATGATACTCATTAATAAGAAACTTAAATTTAAAGAGCGCCATGACATTGTTAGTTTATCAGTTGAGCGAACTACAGAAATAGCCTGTTTAGAACTAAAAGGTTTCATAGTAGTATGTGTATACAGACCTCCTTCAGCTATGTATGATTGTTTTGAACGTGTTATGGATGAAGTATTAGTTAAAGTAACAAGTTCAAAAAAGAAGGTCATCATCTGTGGTGACTTCAATATTAACCTATTGGAAAATTCAAGTATAGTAACCAAGTTCAAGGCACTTTTTCAATCATACAATCTGAAGAACTTGTTCTTGGAGCCTACACGAATCACTGCCACCACTGCCACATGTTTGGACAATATATTTACAGATATTGTTATTAAGGACAAGAAAATAATCAATCAATTACAATCTGACCACTGTGGTCAATTAGTATCTTTCTGTGATAGGTATGAAAAAGTGTCAGAAAAAAGAATTGTGGTGATACCTAAAACCGCAAAGCGTTGTGAAAACTTTAAGGATAAACTTAAAGCTGCTTTTAATAATTCAGTACTCTGTGTAGAGAATAACCCTAATACTTATTATAATAGTTTTTTTGAAACTTTCTCTTCAACATTTAACACCATTTTTACACCAAAAACGCTAGTGGTTAAAGGTAACGCCACATTTAGTGAATGGGCTACCCCTGGCTTACTCAAAAGTAGGAAAAGATTATACGAGCTATACGATGAGAGGAATTATAATAAAAGTGAACAGTTTCATAATTATGTTAAAGAATATTCGAAGCTGTTTAGGAAACTTTGTAAACTGGCTA